AAGAGTGGGAGTTGAAGACGTCTCCCATTTTAACATCAATACCACCTGGGGAGACCCGTGCCCTTTTGCTCTGAAACTTGGATCTGCTAACCCAGGACTTTGGCAAGTACCTTAACCATTTCACCTCTCTCTGATATCTCTTTGCTGTGCTGTTGGTCTCTGTATATTTATATATATATCTTAGTTATAATTTTTTCTGTAAATATTGTTATTGCACCCGTTTGACCTTTTAGTAATAAATCTTTCCTTCTGAAAGTGTTGAACTGTTTCTATAGCAATTTTTTTGCAATTTACGAATTCCGGCCTCTAAAGAGAACGCTACTGTGTTTATTTAACTCTCTGTATAACCGTGTTATGCAGACGATTACCTCAACCATTATAGTGTTATTGCTGAGATTGCCAAGTTTCCTCCTCTCTATACAAAAAAAGGAGGTGGTGGCAGTGTGAAGGGTTAATTGCGTAATTAACCTGACCCAGTAACAATCACTCAGGCTGCCGGTACATCGATCATTAGCTGGAAAATCGTTGTGCAGGGTGCAGCTGGGTGTGGCATTGTTACGCATGTGACATCGCGGTTTTAGATTGGGTAATCCTTTAGTCACGAGTTTGGTGAGAAGGTCTGGGGTCTGACGCCGTGATCGTGGCAGATGCATCATTGGACTGATGCTGCATCTACCTAGGTGAGTATGAATGTTTATGTTTTTTACATTCCCATACTTCTCTTGTAGCCTCCCTGGCGGTATTCCTGAGCGTAGCTCAGGTTAAGTTTCAGTACCACAAGCGGTAACCCCGAGCTACACTTGGGCTTACCATGCGGCGCTGCTCCGGGATCTGTTCTTCTCTTACCTTGTCCTGCGTTCCCGCGATGTCCCTCCTGCAGTGTCCCCTGTAATGTCCTCCGGCGGATGCCGGCATCTGTCTTCTGGGTTCTGTCCCCTGCGACGTCAGGACGTATGGGAACGGAACGGCGGGAAATTTGAAAATTACAAATGACATTCACTAAAATAACATAGGAAAACATTACTGTATCAAACCATTTCACATACATTTTGTCTCTAGTGCTTTGTCCTGTGCCCTGCCTGCATTTTTACTGTTCTTTCTGCCTAGAAACTGAGAAATGTCCATGGCGACCAAAAAGCATCCCTTTAGGTCAAAAGCGGTTTTAGACCAGCTAAAGAACAGCAATAATAAATTAGAACCACTTGCAGAATTGAGTGATAATGATTAGTGCGGATATTCGTCATCAGACACTGAAAACGATTTTGCGACTTTGCTCAGTGATGTGCGAACTTGGCGCTATATTTCAAATTTCAGTGTTTTTGGTTTGATTATATTATTGAATTAAATTTATTATTATATTATTATTAGAGATGAGCGAATCGAAGTAGGCGAAGTGGAATTCGAGTCGAATCCGAAAAATAGCCTACTTCGGACGCGCAAATCGAAATTTTTCCTAAAATGGCGGCGGACATGTGTGGCGACGGAGCGGGGATGTCTGGGAAGGCGCGCAGACAAGGCGCGCTGACCCATAATGCATTCCTTAATGACATGTGATCGCATTAGCCAATCAGCAGCCAGCCAGCCAGCACTGTGTAATGGTCGAGCTATAAATAGAGGCCATTTTAGAATTCTTCATTTGCCTCCAGTCATTCAAGAGAGGCAGACCGCTCTGTATTAGGGACAGAGTTAGGGCCACAGAAACGTTACTTGGGGACAGAGAAACGTTACTTAGGGACAGAGAAGCATTACTCAGGGACACAGAATTGTTAATGAGGGCCACAGAATCGTTACTTAGGGCCAAAGAAACGCTAGTTAGGGCCACAGAATTGTTACTCAGGGACAGACAGAATTGTTACTGAGTGCCAGAGAATTGTTACTTAGAGCCACAGAAACGTTAGTTAGGGCCACAGAATTGTTACTCAGGGACAGACACAGAATTGTTACTGAGGGCACAGAACTGTTACTTAGGGCCACAGAAACGTTATTAGGGGCACAGAATTGTTACTCAGGGACAGACAGAATTGTTACTGAGTGCCAGAGAATTGTTACTTAGGGCCACAGAAACGTTAGTTAGGGCCACAGAATTGTTACTCAGGGACAGACACAGAATTGTTACTGAGGGCCACAGAACTGTTACTTAGGGCCACAGAAACGTTAGTTAGGGCCACAGAATTGTTACTCAAAGACAGACACAGAATTGTTACTGAGGGCCACAGAATTGTTACTTAGGGCCACAGAAACGTTACTCAGGGAAACAGAATTGTTACTGAGGGCCACAGAACCGTTACTTAGGGCCACAGAACCGTTACTTAGGGCCACAGAATTGTTACTCAGGGACACAGAAATTGTTACTGAGGGCCACAGAACTGTTACTTAGGGCCACAGAATTGTTACTCAGGGACAGACACAGAATTGTTACTCAGGGACACAGAATTGTTACTGAGGGCCACAGAACCGTTACTTAGGGCCACAGAATTGTTACTCAGGGACACAGAATTGTTACTGAGGGCCACAGAACCGTTACTTAGGGCCACAGAATTGTTACTCAGGGACACAGAATTGTTACTTAGGGCCACAGAAACGTTACTCAGGGACACAGAATTGTTACTGAGGGCCACAGAACTGTTACTTAGGGCCACAGAAACGTTAGTTAGGGCCACAGAATTGTTACTCAGGGACAGACACAGAATTGTTACTGAGGGACACAGAATTGTTACTGAGGGCCACAGAACCGTTACTTAGGGCCACAGAATTGTTACTCAGGGACAGACACAGAATTGTTACTCAGGGACACAGAATTGTTACTGAGGGCCACAGAACCGTTACTTAGGGCCACAGAAACGTTACTCAGGGACACAGAATTGTTACTGAGGGCCACAGAACCGTTACTTAGGGCCACAGAATTGTTACAGGGACAGACACAGAATTGTTACTGAGGGACACAGAATTGTTACTGAGGGCCACAGAACCGTTACTTAGGGCCACAGAAACGTTACTCAGGGACACAGAATTGTTACTGAGGGCCACAGAACCGTTACTTAGGGCCACAGAATTGTTACTCAGGGACAGACACAGAATTGTTACTGAGGGACACAGAATTGTTACTGAGGGTAACAGAACCGTTACTTAGGGCCACAGAAACGTTACTCAGGGACACAGAATTGTTACTGAGGGCCACAGAACCGTTACTTAGGGCCACAGAATTGTTACTCAGGGACAGACACAGAATTGTTACTCAGGGACAGAATTGTTACTGAGGGCCACAGAGCCGTTACTTAGGGCCACAGAATTGTTACTCAGGGACACAGAATTGTTACTGAGGGCCACAGAACCGTTACTTAGGGCCACAGAATTGTTACTCAGGGACACAGAATTGTTACTGAGGGCCACAGAACCGTTACTTAGGGCCACAGAAACGTTACTCAGGGACAGACACAGAATTCTTACTCAGGGACAGACACAGAATTGTTACTCAGGGACACAGAATTGTTACTGAGGGACACAGAATTGTTACTGAGGGACGAAGAATTGTTACTCAGGGACACAGAATTGTTACTGAGGGACACAGAATTGTTACTGAGGGACACAGAATTGTTACTCAGGGACAGACACAGAAATTGTTACTCAGGGACAGACAGAATTGTTACTGAGGGCCACAGAAATGTTACTTAGGGCCACAGAAACGTTACTCAGGGACACAGAATTGTTACTCAGGGACAGACACAGAATTGTTACTCAGGGACAGACACAGAATTGTTACTGAGGGACACAGAATTGTTACTGAGGGCCACAGAACCGTTACTTAGGGCCACAGAAACGTTACTCAGGGACAGACACAGAATTGTTACTCAGGGACAGACACAGAATTGTTACTGAGGGACACAGAATTGTTACTGAGGGACACAGAATTGTTACTGAGGGACACAGAATTGTTACTCAGGGACACAGAATTGTTACTGAGGGCCACAGAACCGTTACTTAGGGCCACAGAATTGTTACTCAGGGACAGACACAGAATTGTTACTCAGGGACACAGAATTGTTACTGAGGGCCACAGAAGCGTTACTTAGGGCCACAGAAACGTTACTCAGGGACAGACACAGAATTCTTACTCAGGGACAGACACAGAATTGTTACTCAGGGACACAGAATTGTTACTGAGGGACACAGAATTGTTACTGAGGGCCACAGAATTGTTACTCAGGGACACAGAATTGTTACTGAGGGACACAGAATTGTTACTGAGGGACACAGAATTGTTACTCAGGGACAGACACAGAATTGTTACTGAGGGCCACAGAACTGTTACTTAGGGCCACAGAACTGTTACTTAGGGCCACAGAAACGTTACTCAGGGACACAGAATTGTTACTCAGGGACACAGAATTGTTACTGAGGGACACAGAATTGTTACTGAGGGACACAGAATTGTTACAGGGACAGACAGGGTTACAGACACAGAACTGTTACTGAGGGCCACAGAACTGTTACTTAGAGCCACAGAACTGTTACTTAGGGCCACAGAAACGTTACTCAGGGACACAGAACTGTTACTCAGGGACACAGAATCGTTTAATTAAAGAGTATGTCAGACAACATGCAGAGGAGTGGCAGAGGAGGCAATGTTTTAGGAGCGAGCAGACGTGGCAGCAGAGGAAGGGGTCGAGGCAGCACTATTCGCAGCCAGAGGCTAGTGCTCCCGATGTCATCCAGTACAGTGAGGAAGAGCTAACAGAGGGCGGTCAGGAACGGGGGGAGACATCCGCCTCTTCAGCAGCCAGGCGAAGAAGTAGTGGCGAGGAGAGTGGCTCGGTAGCCGGTGTAGAGACAGGTCTGTCTCCTGACCCACACGCAGCTGAGGGGGCTAGTAGTGAGGCGGAGACCCTAATTGATGATGATGAGGCTGATCACACTTGGCAGCCTCGTCATCATCAGGCTATTGCTTCCGCATCATCAGGAGAAGAGGGTGGCAGCTTGGCAGCGAGCAAAACAGTCGGTGGGTTGTCTCCATCGCCACACTCTGCCATGTGCCACTTTCAGGTCTCCTCACACACTGCTGGTGTGTTGAATTTTTTGACATAGGGTGCTGGCAGATTACGGGCCTCCCATAGCTGCTGCCAGGCCCCTAATCTGCCATGGGCCCCTATATACCGCCTCCTCATGCTGCTGCCAAGTCCAGAGTCTCTCATGGGTCCCTGTACGGCCTCCCATTGCTGCTGTCTCCATCGTCACACTCTGCCATGTGCCACTTTCAGGTCTCCTCACACACTGCTGGTGTGTTGAATTTTTTGACATAGGGTGCTGGCAGATTACGGGCCTCCCATAGCTGCTGCCAGGCCCCTAATCTGCCATGGGCCCCTATACCGCCTCCTCATGCTGCTGCCAGGTCCACAGTCTCTCATGCCATGTGCCACTTTCAGGTCTCCTCACACTGCTGGTGTGTTGAATTTTTTGACATAGGGTGCTGGCAGATTACGGGCCTCCCATAGCTGCTGCCAGGCCCCTAATCTGCCATGGGCCCCTATACCGCCTCCTCATGCTGCTGCTGCAGGTCCAGGCGAACGTAGTCACACAGGGGAGGAACTTCTCAGTGTAATGAACAGAGAAATCGACAGATGGCTGTCTCCGCGCAAACTGAAAATCGGAACCATGTTGACTGACAACGGAAAGAACATGGTGTCTGCTCTGCGTCAAGTAAGGTTGTGCCATGCGCCATGCATGGCTCACGTGTTCAATCTGGTTGTCAAGCGGTTCCTAAAATCCACCATCCCACTGCAAGACATCCTTAAAATGTCACGTAAACTTTGCATGCATTTCAGCCATTCCTACACCGCAAAGCACACCCTCCTTGAGCTGCAGCGGCAGAACGGAATTGCACAGCATCGCCTGATCTGCGACGTTGCAACAAGGTGGAATTCAACCCTACACATGTTAGACTGCCTTTACGAACAGCGAAAGGCCATCACCGATTTCCTGATGTTACAAGCGGATAAAGGTACTCCCCTGTGTAACTTAGATGTCAGCCATTGGCAGCTCATGCGTGACACCTGCGCTTGCTCAGGCCCTTTGAGGAGGCCACGCTATTCGTGAGTCGGCAGGACTATGGGATGAACGACGTCATTCCTCTGTTGCACGTCCTGGAACAAATGCTGTTAACAATGGCTGGTCAGGGTGCGGTAGACGTGGCGCACAGATCTCAATGCCACATGACCCCTGTGGGGGCAGGACAGGTAGAAGAGGAGGAGGTAGAGGAGGACATTTGTGCGCAGGAATTATTGAGTGAAATGGGTGGTTTTTCCACTCAGCGGACAGGAGTGGAGGAGCAGGAGCATCTGGTAGAGGAGGAGGAGGAGGAGACAGAGGACCCAGACGCACCGTGGCAGTATGCTGTGGAGATGGAGGCAGGGAGTCCCTCGCATTCCTTGGCACAAATGGCCCATAGCATGCTCGCTTGCTTGCGTAGCGACAGCCGAATAATAACCATCAGACAGAGGGATGACTTTTGGCTGTCCACCTTGTTGGACCCTCGCTACCGTTCAAAAATGGTGGCCTTTTTCACACCTGCTGAGAGGGAGGCCAAAATAACGTACTATAAAAACCACCTATGTAGTCAGTTGGTCTCTGCCTTTCTGCGCCAACGTCCATGCTCAGACACTGTGGGCCCTGTGCACTCGCGTTCCGCTGCCATGGCAGCAGGGGAGGGGTGGGGTGGTAGGAGCAGTGGCAGCTCCACCAGCAGCGGCTGCCTCAGTCTGCAGTCGATGATGAGTAGCTTTCTTCACCAGCGCAGTGAGGAAACTACTAACCAGCCGCAGCAGCAGCAGCATCAGGTGGACCTGGAGCAGGACCTCAAACAACAGGCTTGGGCCTACTTGGACAGCACCCTGCCAACCGAGGTAGACAATCCCCTTGACTACTGGGCAAGGAAACTTGACCTTTGGCCCCAACTAGCTGAATTTGCCCTTGAAAGGCTGTCATGCCCGGCCAGTAGCCTGGCATCGGAGCGCGTGTTTAGTGCGGCAGGAGGTATTGTAACTCCGCGGAGGACACGACTGTCCACCCAAAGTATGGAGAGACTCACGTTTGTGAAAATGAATCAGGCGTGGATTAGTCTGGATTTCAAACCACCAGTTCCTGACACAACTGACTAAATCCGCCATGAATCATGCCCCAAACATGTGCCACTTTCAGGTCTCCTCACACTGCTGGTGTGTTCCTTTTTTTGTCATAGGGTGCTGGCAGATTACGGGCCTCCCATAGCTGCTGCCAGGCCCCTAATCTGCCATGGGCCCCTATACCGCCTCCTCATGCTGCTGCCAAGTCCAGAGTCTCTCATGGGTCCCTGTACGGCCTCCCATTGCTGCTGTCTCCATCGCCACACTCTGCCATGTGCCACTTTCAGGTCTCCTCACACTGCTGGTGTGTTCCATTTTTTGTCATAGGGTGCTGGCAGATTACGGGCCTCCCATAGCTGCTGCCAGGCCCCTAATCTGCCATGGGCCCCTATACCGCCTCCTCATGCTGCTGCCAAGTCCAGAGTCTCTCATGGGTCCCTGTACGGCCTCCCATTGCTGCTGTCTCCATCGCCACACTCTGCCATGTGCCACTTTCAGGTCTCCTCACACTGCTGGTGTGTTGAATTTTTTGACATAGGGTGCTGGCAGATTACGGGCCTCCCATAGCTGCTGCCAGGCCCCTAATCTGCCATGGGCCCCTATATACCGCCTCCTCATGCTGCTGCCAGGTCCAGAGTCTCTCATGGGTCCCTGTACGGCCTCCCATTGCTGCTGTCTCCATCGCCACACTCTGCCATGTGCCACTTTCAGGTCTCCTCACACACTGCTGGTGTGTTGAATTTTTTGTCATAGGGTGCTGGCAGATTACGGGCCTCCTATAGCTGCTGCCAGGCCCCTAATCTGCCATGGGCCCCTATACCGCCTCCTCATGCTGCTGCCAGGTCCAGAGTCTCTCATGGGTCCCTGTACGGCCTCCCATTGCTGCTGTCTCCATCGCCACACTCTGCCATGTGCCACTTTCAGGTCTCCTCACACACTGCTGGTGTGTTCCATTTTTTGTCATAGGGTGCTGACAGATTACGGGCCTCCCATTGCTGCTGCCAGGCCTGTAATCTGCCATGGGCCCCCGTACCGCCTGGTCACGCTGCTGCTGGGTCCACAGTGTGACATGGGTCCCTGTACCGCCTCCCATTGCTCCCACTCTGCCATGTGCCACTTTGAGGTCTCCTCACACTCCTGCTGTTTTCCATTTTGTCATAGGTTGCTGGCAGATTACAGGCCTACCATAGGTGCTGCCAGGCCCCAAATCTGTCATGGGCCCCCGTACCGCCTCGTCACGCTGCTGCTGGGTCCACAGTGTGACATGGGTCCCTGTACCGCCTCCCATTGCTCCCACTCTGCCATGTGCCACTTTGAGATCTCCTCACACTCCTGCTGGTTTCCATTTTGTCATAGGTTGCTGTATGGCCTCCCATTGCTGCTGCCTCCACCGCCACACTGTGGCTCCAAACACTGGTTTTGGCCCCGTGACTGGCCAAATGAGTGAAGTGTGCGGTGATTCTAAGATCGACGGCACTCATCTGCATGTCATACTGACTGACTGTATTATTTCTCTTCCCCAGCAGACTCCAAGGGCATTTAAATTAAAGGTACAGTGTTCTGCACTAATATTAAGTCTCTCTGAAGCCTAGAAACACCCTTTTTTAAGTTAAATTCACAGCGAATATATTCGACTCGAATCGAATATTGTCCACGAATTCGCCGAATCAGTCGAATCGAATTTTTGAATACTTCGCTCTTCTCTAATTATTATTTTTTATGATTATTTATTCAATTATAATTTATGATTTCGTGTTTCAAATTGTAACATACCGGGGATGTTTACTAGACTCTTGTTCGGACAGATTTCAGTGAGTTATTCCTAAAAATTACAGGTCTACAATAAAAAAAATACATATTTTCATGCAAAAAAATGTACCGCTTTGAGCACAGAAATATGGACATAATCAGACCGCTAGGGAGGTTAACTTTATTTAAGAGCCAAGCTGTTTCTTTCTTAAATCATCCCGTTTCATTTTCCTTTCACTTCAAAAACCTCATTAATTACCTTCCTTTACCAAAAAAGCTCACAATTGTCTTCTGTGTTTATATACACTATATTCCCAAAAGTATCGGGACGCTTGCCTTTACACGCACATAAACTTTAATGCCATCCCAGTCTAAGTCTGTAGGGTTCAATATTGAGTTGGCCCAGCCTTTGCAGCTATAACATCTTCAACTCTTCTGGAAAGGCTCTCCACAAGGTTTAGGAGTGTGTCTATGGGAATGTTGTTGTACTAATCTGAAGGCCACATGAAGTTTCGAGGTCTTTAGCTATTGACTCTGCAGACAGATGGCGACTTCTGTGCACTGTGTGCTTCAGCATGCGCTGACCCGGCTCTGTCATTTTTTACGTGGCCTACCATTTCATGGCTGAGTTGCTGTTGTTCCCAGTTGCTTCCACTTTGTTATAATACCACTAACAGTTGACCATGGAATATTTAGTAGCAAAGAAATTTCATGGATGGAATTATTGCACAGGTGGCAACCTATCACAGTACTATGCTTGAATTCACTGAGCCCCTGAGAGCGACCCATTCTTTCACAAGTGTTTGTAGAAACAGACTGCATGCCTAGGTGATTGATTTTATACACCTGTGGCCATGGAGGTGATTGGAACACCTGAATCCAATGATCCAATGATGAATTATGGCAATATAGTGTAGTTTGGAGCTTATAGTAGTTCTATCATATCTTAAGACTCTCCCAAGATCCCCAGGTCCATTTACAAGACTTATTCTTTATTACAAGCAGTCTATATGAACCAGAAATCTCCACAGTACAGTACTGGAATATTGCTGTCCTGAAAATAACTAAATTTTAACAGCTGTTTGCTGTTTTAAAAATAATAGATACTATTAATTTTCATGGCTGACTTTTGGATGCTTCGATATTCCTGCTGCAATAACAAGTACATACTATTTAAAATCAAGCACAGAGTGTCAAACTAAAATTTTATAAGGATGTTTTTATTTATTGTGTTACATTATGCAGTATTGAAAACTTGATGCAGTATTGGTATGTATCCCTGCCAACATGGAATAATTTTCCCATAATGCCATTTTTTATCATGGGGGTGGGTGGTGAGCAGCAGGAGTGCTATGAGGCAAGATGAAAAGCCTCATGTCTCCACTGAAGACATTTGTTTTAATTCAAGCCTAAAGCAATTTTAAAGTTCCTAAAGTGCCATTGCTACAGCATGGTAGGCATCACTAAGCATCTCCAAATGCCGGCATGTCAACCTTCATTAGCTATTTACATGTACTGTATGCACGGTCAAAATGTAAAGTCATATATTAATTTCCACATTGAATTTCAATTATTTCTAGCCTACCCCTTTT